AATAGATTCATTCTGTATGGCCTCAAAGGGGCCAATGAGTGAAATCTGAAGGGAGGCAGATTTCTCTTCCATGAGAAATAACTTCCTAAGAACAGGACTGATAGAAAAATAAAATTTCTTATTTTATTCTATGCTACCTTAAAAAGTAGGGAGAGCTGTCTTGCTGAGGTGCATTTTCCCTTCTTTTTAAATCCTTGTTACAAAAGATGGCTTACGAGACAGGAACGAGGGGAAAGGGTCATATTCATAAATAAAAAAAAGGCATCAATAAAGAGATTTTTTTAAATAAGTGCTTCAACAAAGAATTGGAAATTGAGGGGATACCCATCAATTGGGGAATGGCTGAACAATTTGTGGTATATGGATGTAATGGATTATTATTGTGCTATAAGAAATGATGAGCAAGCAGACTTCAGAAAAACCTGTAAAGACTTATATGAACTAATGCTGAATGAAATGAGCAGAACCAGGAGAACAAATAATAGCCATATTGTGCAATGACTAACTTTGATAGACTTAGCTCTTCTCACCAATGCAGGATCTAAGACAACTCCAAAAGACTCAAGATGGAAAATACTATCTACATCCAAAAAAAGAACCATGAAGTCTGAATGCAAATGGAAGCATACTATTTGCTCTCCTTTTCTTTTGTTGTTTCCTTTTATTTCTTCCTTCCCTTGGTTCCTCCTATTAGTTCTAATTCTTCTGTACATCATGACTAATGTGAAAATATGCTTAATATGAAGGTATAAGTAGAGCCTATATCAGATTACATGCTGTCTTAGGAAGGGGAGGAGATGGAGGGGGAAAAAAACTCAAAATGTTATGGCTCTTCCGCTTCCAGGAGCCAAGAAGGCAGAGTGAAAAGGTAGTGGCTCTCACTCTCCCCTATCAACCTCTGAAAACCCAGAAAATATCACCCCAGAAAAAATCCTGGAACAGTGGTACTAGAAGAAAGATGGGGAGCAGCAGTGCAGCAGCCCAGCAAATGGGTCTCCCAGTCCCTCAGCAAAAATAAGGGAGGCAGAACTACAAGGGGCCCCAGGCGGATAAGTACCCTGCGGCATTCATCTGAAAGGAGGTGAAGAAAGCAACCTAAAGTTTTCCTAAAGCCCCAGCCTTGCTGATTCCAGCCCAACATGAGATAAGCTGCCAAAACCCTACAGCTTCCAATTGCCAACATAAGAGGCCCCAGCACACAAACCCAGTGACCAAGACCTAGCTCCCAACACAAGAAGCTTAGGTCAGTGCCCTCTGTTCCCCAGCAGGAGAGCTCAATCTCTTTAAAGGCCAGGGAATAAAGAAACACCATGAGTAAAAAGAAACGTACCATAGATTCATATTATAAGAGTGAAGATCAAGACAGAAATTCTGAAGAGGACAACATTGACAACAAAAGGGAATATGAACTGGTCTGAAGCCCAAAAAGCCTTCTTAGAAGAGCTCAAGAAGGATTTTAATAGTCAAATGAGAGAGGTAGAAGAGTCCTTCAAAAATACAACTGGCCAATTGGAAAAAAAATACACTGAAGAAAACAAGTCCCTAAAAAACAGAATTGGCCAGTTGAAGGACAAAAACAGAAGAGTACACTGAAGAAAACAAGTCCATAAAAAACACAATTGGCTAATTGAAGAAGGAAGTACAAAAACAGAAAAAAACAATCTGTTAAAACCTAGAATTGGACAAATGGAAACTAATGTCTCTATGAGAGAGCAAGAATCAGTTAAATAGAAACAAAAAAATTAAAAAATAGATGAAAATGTAAAATACCTCGTCAATAAAACAACCAACCTGGAAAATCAATTCAGGAGAGACGATTTAAAAATTACTGGACTACCTCAAAATCATGATGAAAAATCTTATGGAAGTGAACGTTTAAAACTAAAAATAAAAAAAATAATTATAAAAAAAAAGGGTCTCATTCTTTAAAAAAAAGTTACCAAGAAAAGGTTTGCCAAGCCACCTGTAGAGGGGGTTTCTGCACTTGATGAGAGATTAGCCTCCAAGTTTCTAAGATAATCCTTCTGCTTCTTGAGGATACTAGGCTACTTGGGACTAGCTAGATGGCATCTCAGCATTAAGACATAGCGCCTCTCCAAAAAAATAGTAGAACCAATATCCAAACCCCTATCAATGAAACAGGATGGTATTGAACAAAAAGGGTTGGTTTTGAAGCTCAGGGAAAAGTGGAAGGAACTATAATAGATAAAAAAAAATGAGGGAGTTCAATTCATATTTAGGCTGTTTCGTCTCCTTAGTATGAATTTTAGACTCAAAAAGATGTAATGAAAATAGTGAATACAGAGTTGTTACCCACAATGAGCTTAGAGAGACAAACAGTAGGTATGCCAACACAAATGCCTTGATTTAAAAAAAATTTAGAATTGAGTCAGTAAAATTATAGGCCAGTGAGCTTGACATTGATTCCTGGTAAAATTATGGCATACATTTTATGAAAAGTATGGTTAGTGAACACTCGAGAAAGGGAAGGCATGATCTCAAGGCTCCAGCATGGCATCAGCCCAAACAGGTTGTGGCAGACTAGCTTTGTTTCTTTTTTCAAAACAGGATTACTAAACTGATAGAACAAGGGAATGCAGTATAGTTTACTTTTAGATTCTAACAAAATATTTGACAAATGACTACGCAATCTTTATGATGATGATGGATATTTGGGATATGTGATAAGAGGTGGATTAAGAAGTTGAATGATTAGATCCAAAAAGTAGTCATTAATAGTTTGATGTCAACTTGGAAGGTCTCTAGCTGAGTGCCAGGGGATCTATACTTGGCCCCGTGCTATTTAATATGTGTATAAAAACACATGCCACACTTATCATGTTTGAAGATGACATATAACTAGGTAATGACAGTCAGCATCCAAGATTTTTAAAGGATAGACTGTTGAGCCAAATCTAGTAAGATGAAATTTAATAGGAATTCTTACACTTCGATTAAAAAAAAAAAGACAAACTTCACAAGAAAAAATGGGGGAGGTGTAGATGGAAAAGATCTGATGGTTTGAATAAAGGGCAAGCTCCCTAAATATACTATGATAGCCCCCCAAAAAGCTAATGTTATCTTACACTACATGAAGGGAGCCATGTTGTCATTGGGTATAGGATGTCTTACTCCCACCTAGACTACTTGTGAAGTATTATGTTCAGTCATGGGCACATTTTAGGAAGACTATTAACTTGTGGAAGATAGTCTGGAGGACAATAAATAAGCTTTTCAAGATCCTGGCATATGAGGATCAGTTGCAGGAACTGGGGATGTTTAGCCTAAAGAATAGAAAAAATTGATAATTGATACAGGAGGCTCAGAGGGTAGTGAATGGGTAAAATAAGAGAATTGGTATTTAAATATATGAAGGTCTGTCACTTGGAAGAGGAATTAGACTAGGAATTGCTGGGCCTGAGGGGAGAACCAGAAGTAGTAGGTTTTAAGTTGTAAAGAAAGATTTAGGTTTGATAGAAGGAAAAATCTCTTAACTATTAAGTTAACCAAAGGTAAAATGAGTTACTTTGGGAAGTAATGAGTTCCTCTCCAATTTTTAAACAATGGCTGAACGACTTCTTGGGTCCATGGTAGAGGGGTTTCTTGTTCAGGTCAGAAGTGCCTTACAACTGAGATTGTATTTCACATTCTCCTAAAGTCCAGGGCTAAAAGTAAAAAAGGCAAAAAGAAAGTGTCTAATATTACTCCATTACCGGGAACTGAGTTTGGGAAAGGAGGAAGTACAGAGTGACTTGAGATTTGGGCATAAGACTTCCATTTAGTATTGATTTTTATACTTCTATCCCTGTTCTTGGGGATAAATAGCCCAGGAAACAGATGCCAGAGAATGGTTAGCTTCACCCCTGCTCTGGGCAATCACCTTGCAAGGGAACCATCACACCCAGAGAACAAACAGGAAGACTCAGGGAGGGATCAGATACCCCCCCCCCATCCCAGTTAGGCAAATCATTAACTCTTCAGTAACTACATAGATGGAACCAGGGGGAAAGTCTGGGCAAGGCCCCAGATATAAGGCACTGACATTGGGAAGCTTTAGATGACTTTTTCTTCTTTTTCTCCCCACAATCCAGCTGATCCAGTGCCTCCTGCCTCCTGTAGCATTTGTCTACCTCATTTCCCAGGCTGCCTCTTAAGACACAGTTCCCTCTTTCAAAGCTGGGCAGCAGTGGCCTATTCTGGGTAAATTACTATGGCACATACAGGTCCTAATCCCTTTTGAGTCTAGAGAAGCCCCATTGAGGGACTCATCCCTAGAGTTGAGCTCAGCTTACTTAGTTATAAAACTGGCTCAGTTTTCAAGGGTGAGAGTAACTTTATTAACTTGTAAATGCTGCATCTACTCCCATTCCCTCAAGTTTTGACAATTATGGATAAATTAAAAGCCTAAACTCTGTAGCCTGGGATTCAAGGCCTTTCCAGAACCTTTCCCTGTTTACCCTATATAATGGCCCAGCCAATCTAATCTACTTACTTTCCCCTAAATACATCCAGAACACTCTTGCCCCTATTTCACTCCCACTGTTCTTCCTGCTTTAAATATCTTCTTTCTCTACTTATGTAAGTCCAACCCTTCAAGGTCTCTTTTTTTTTTTTTTGGCTAGGCAATGAGGTTAAGTGACTTGCCCAGGGTCACACAGCTAGTGTTGTGTGTCTGAGGCTGGATTTGAACTCAGGTCCTCCTGAATCCAGGGCCGGTACTCTATCCACTGCACCGCCTAGATGCCCCCTTTAGGGTCTTTCTTGAACCCTATCTTTCCCGAATAGCCTTCTCTACACTCTGGGTGATCAAGCTCTTATAACTCCTGTAACACCTTTTTCCTATGATACCTTGTACTGTTAAATATCTACGTATACATACTGTCCCTCCAATTAGAATATAAGCTTGCTAACGGGATGGTGTCTGCCTCTGGTTTTTTTTAAACCAACAGTACCCATCATAAAGTCACTATAGCACAGACACTACAAAGAGATGGTAAAAATGACAATGAAGGAAGTACCTTTCTTTAAGGACTTGAGAAATACAGTATTTACCTGGCACCACAACAAAGAGGACAAGCAGGGAGACTTAGGGCCCAGACCACCCTACAAACCTAAGTTATCCCCCACAACATCCAACTTCAGTAGTTTAAGATATTGCTGTGCCAATTCTTGGCTGCCTGTCTCTGGTCTTCAGCACACAATTCTAAACACACTGGAAGTATGGGTAATAATATATTTTCCTCATAGACTACTGTTCGAACAAACTTGTTCCCCACTCTCATGTTTCACAGAGTCCTTCTTCACAGTAGCCTTTTAAAAGGGCCGGGGACAGATGGGCCTCCCCTGAAAAGCTGAAAAAGTTCTCAAACTACCCACACTGGTTAAATTCATCTTTTCGGGTCTGCAGGCAGTAATACACATGGGGCTACTGCCCAAGTGGTCAGGCTGGACTAGAGTAAGCCCCACTTTGCACAAGTCCTTCAGAACCCCAAATTCCTACTCCAAAATCACAGTGCCACCAGCTGCTTCCAAGGCTGCTTTAATCTTCTCTGCTTCTGATTTGGCAACATTAGCTTTGATTTCCTGTGGTAAGGACTCTACCAGCTTCTTTGCCTGAAATGAAAAGAAGTAGAGGATTAGAACCATAGAAGCCCTGGGGGTCTTTATAATAAGCCTGGTCCTTGGCCAGAGGATCAAGTCTGGGGCAACTGCATGATTATGATCACAGCACAAGGACTCCAGGGGAAAGCTAGTGGGATGCAGAGGAGGGAGATTCTCTCAACTTGAAAACCATTAAGCAGGCAGAGGGCTGTAACGTCCATGGGATAAGAATTCTTCATACCTGGACAAGATTTATGCCTTGGACGTAATTCTTTACTTCCTTGATTAGTTTCACTTTATCCACAGGCTTGGCTTCTGTCAGTCGAACAGTGAAATGTGTTCGTTCTTTTTGCTTGGGTACCTCTTCCTCTTCTGCTGCCTAGAATAAGAGGAGGAAAAGGAAAGGTGAAGCCAGACATAGCCCTAACCTAATCTCCCTGCCTACTTTCTAACTCTAAAAGGGAAATCAGATTGCCATCAGACAAATTTACTATTCCTATCACCCCTCCACTGAGGATCAAATGAGATAATGTATATAAATTTTATAAATGCCAGTTATTATAATATTTATTATTATTATTATTATTTAACCCCCAGAACCTTAGTTTAGCTTTACAGGAAAATAGAACTCAATAAAGATTTAGCTGTTTTGCTTTTTCAATATGATTAGATGTAAAGCAAGGCTGTCCATTGTCACTATCACCATTTGAAATAGTTGTAGAACCTCTGCAATAACAATTTTTAAAAACTGGTGAATAAGCACAGGAAAAGAAAAAACAATTAGGGGCAGCTAGGTGGCACAGTGGATAGAGCTCTAGCTTTGGAGTCAGGAGGACCTGAGTTCAAGTCTGGCCCCACACACTTTGACACTTACTAGCTGTGTGACCATGGGCAAGTCACTTAACCCAGACTGCCTCACCAAAAAGCAAAAACAAACAAACATATGATGCATGCATGTAATAGAATACTACTGCAAGAAAATTATAAACATGACAAATTCAGAGAAATTGGGGAAATCTTATATTAACTTTTCCAGAGTAAGCAGAATCAGGAGGACAATTTGTACACTGAATACAATCTAACAAAAATAATTTTGAAAGACTTCAGAGCTCAAAATGGTAATCATCAAAACAATCTGGTACTAAGAAATATAGTGATGAATGAGTAGAACAGATTAGTACACAATACACAGTAGTTAATGACCACAGTAATCTCGTGTTTGATAAACCCAAAGATCCAAGCTTTTGGGACAAGAACTCACTAGACAAAAATTGCTGGGAAAACTAGGAAGCAATTTGGCAGAAACTACATATAGACCAACACCACACACTGTATACCAAGATATGGTCAAATATCATAAGAAAATTAGGGAAGCATGGAAGATGAATCTATGGATAAGGGAAAAATTTATGATCAAACGAGATAGAGGGCATTACAGGATGTAAAATAGATACTTCTGATTAAATTAAATTAAAAAACAAAACCAATGCTACCACAATTAGAAAAAGAGCAGTAAACTGAAGAAAAAAATTTTACAGCAAGTTTCTCTGATAAGCACCTCATTTCTCAAATATATAGAACTGAGTCAAAAAAATAAAACTGTATCAAACATATAAGAATACAAGCCATTCTCCAATTGATCAAATTGGTCAAAAGAAACAAATAGGTAGTTTTCAGAAGAAATCAAAGCAATCTACAATCATATAGAAAAATGTAAATTAAAGAGACTCTGAGGTACCATTTCACACCTATCAGTTTGGCTAATGCGGCAGAAAAGGAAAATGACAAATATTGGAGGGACTGTGGAAAAATAGGTACTCATGTACTGCTGGTGGAGTTGTGAACTGATCCAACCATTCTGGAGAGCAATTTGGAACTATGCCCAAACTGCACATACCTTTTATCTCAGCAATACTACTATTAAGTGCATATCCCGAAGAGGTCAAAGAAAAGAGAAAGGGACCTATATGTACAATAATATTTATAGAAGTTCCTTTTGTGGTAGCAAAAAATTAGAAACTGAGGAAGATGCCTACAAACTGGGGAATGGCTGAACAAGTTGTGGCACATGACTGTGATGGAATATTACTCTGCTATATGAAATGACAAGTAGGATGTTTTCAGAAAAACCTGGGAAGACTTATATGAACTGATGCAAAATGAAGTCAGAAGAACACTATACAAAGTAACAGCAATACTGTGTGATGATCAAGAGTGAATCACTTAGCTAAAAGCAATGCAATGATCCAAACCAGTTCCAAAGGATTTATGATGAAAAATGCTATCCACCTCCAGAAGAAGAATTGATAGGAATCTGAATGCAAATCTTAGAATACTTTTCTTAATCTATTTTTCTTGGTGGGTTTTTTTTCTGTGTTTTCTTTTGTAACATGGCTAATATGAAAATGTTTTGCATGACTGCACATGTATAGATTGCTTGCTTTCTCAAGGAGGAGGAAAGGAGGAAGAGAATTTGAAACTCAAAATTTTAGAAAGTGAATACTGAAAAAAGTTTTACATGTAATTGAGAAAAAAATGAGAGGACACTACAAAAAAAAGAGATTTCAGAGCTATGATGAATGTAATGATTAATCATGAATTTTCACTGTTTGGCAGAAAGGTGATGGACTAAAGGCATGGATTAAATGTATTTTTAGACATAGCCAATGTGTTGTTTTGCTTCACTATACTTATTGGTTATAAGGCAGGGCCTCTATTGGAGGGGGTGGTGCAGGGAAATGTAGGATAATGATGCAAAACCAGAAGAAAATCAATGTAGCACATACAACCCCCTTTTCTGTTCTTTGTATATTGAAATGTTCATGTTTGTTAAAATGATAATACAAATAAAATTTTAGAAAAGAAGGGTAAGATGGATTAATGGATAGGAAGCCTAAAAGTTATGGAGCCAAGGACTAGAGTTCAAATCTTTCCTCTGACACACAGTATCTGTGTAAACACAGGCAAATCCTTGGACTTTTCTGGGTTGCATTTTCTTCATATAAAACAGGAATGGCAACAGTTGTAGCTCACATGAAATAATACCTATAGATCCTTTGCAATTTTAGTGTTATATAAACGTCATTCTTTTTATCTGCACATATGCTATATTCTCCCCAGCAGCCTCATAGATTTCAAGTTGGAAAAGGCCTAAGAAGTTATTTAGTTCAAAGGTGTCAATCACACAGCTTACTTGGCCCTATATAGCCTACATCATTCTCCTGGAATGTAGCCAGAACCATATTAAAATATAATTGGGAAATGCTTAACAAAAAAAATTAAGATAATCACATTGTTTTAAAACTAAGTCAACAAGCAGCCTGAAGGGATACTGATGTATGGCTTAATGGCCACTAATTTCTATTTGAGTTTGACACCACTGGTTTATGACCAATGACATCACCCTTTCATTTTACAGCTGGGAAACAGTCCAGGAAGAGTCACCCCAAAATCACACAGTGAAGAACAGAGGTGAAATGTGAAACCAGCCCTGACTTCAAATCCAACACCACACTGCTTATTTTACAGAAATGATCAATTCCTGAAGCCAGTCTTTTTTAATCTTTGTAATCCTATTACCTTGCATTGTTCTAATACAAGGCAGGATCTTGACAAATTTTTTAAAAAGATTTAGATATTTACAGCATTCTAATATCCCTTCTAATCTTGGTTAATTCAATTTCAAATCAATAAACCAAGCATTTATTAAGAGTCTGCTACTATAACCAGAGTGTACACTAAGCATTGGGGAAGATATATATATGTGTTTGTGTATTTGTGTGTATATGCATGTATGTACATATATATAGTTTTAGAGAAAACATGGTCACAGAATCAGTGAGGGAAGGGATCATGGCAGCCACCTAGTCCAACCTATACACTAAAAGAATCCCTACCTACAAAACCAACAAGTACTAACAAGTACTAGTAGTAGCTAACAGATATCACTTTTTCTGTGTGTGTATGTGTGTGTGTGTGTGTGTGTGTGTGTGTGTGTGTGTATATATATATATATGTATGTATGTATGTATGTATATGTATATAAAACATATCACTTACTATGTGCCAGGCATTGTGCTAAGCACTTAACAAATATCAATTCATTTGATCCTCATAACCCTGTGAAGTAGATGCTATTATTATCCTCACTTTATAGATGAGGAAACTGAGGCAGATAGTCACACAACTGCTAAGTGACTGAGGCTGATCTTCCTTCCCGACTTCCAGTCCACCACTGTGTAAGTGGACATCCAGACTCTACTTGAGCTACATCTAACGTAGGGACACTTAACACATTTTGAAGTAGCCCATTCTACATTTCAGAGGGACTTTGATTGTTAAGATGTTTCATTTGACATCAAACCTAAATTGGCCTCTTGGCAACCTCTACCTGCCGCTCCTGGTTCTGCCCTTTGGAACCAAACAGAACAAATCTAATCCATTTTGCACAACAGTTATCTTGTTTCCCTTGAGTTTTCTCTTCTCCAGTCTAAACATACTGAGTTCTTTCAATCAGTATAGGTACCACAGGATTGGAGAAAGACATAGCTAATACATTGGATGACAAGATTCAAAAAACTGAACTAGAAAACTGGGTTGAAATTAATAGGACAAAATTTGAGATAAATCTTTTAATTTTTTTAATTTTAGGATAATTGGGACACTAAAACACTGTTAGTGAACTGATCCAACCATTCTGGAAAACAATTTGGCACCCAGCAATACCATCACTAGATCTATATCCCAAAGAGATCAAAGAAAAAAGGACTTATATGTATTTATAGAAGCTCTTTTTGTGGTGGCAAAGAATTGGAAATTGAGGAGATGCCCATCGATTTGGGAATAGCTGAACAAGCTGAGATACATGATTGTGATGGAATACAACTGAGCTGTAAGAAATGACACGTAGGATACTTTCAGAAAAACCTAGGAAGACTAATATGAACTGATACAAAGTAATACTGTACAATGATCATCTGTGAATGACTTACGTATTCTCAGCAATACAATGATCCAAGACAGTTCTGAGGGGCTTATAATGAAAAATGCTATCTACCTCTAATGAAAGAACTGATGGAGTCTGAATGTAGATAAAAGCACACTTTTTTTAAACTTTATTTTTCTTGTTTTTTTTTCTTTTTTGGTCTGTGTTTTCTTTCACAACATGGTTAACATGGGATTATGTTTTGCATGACTGCACACATATAACCTATATCAAATTGTTTTGTACAGTGCTGCTAGGCTACAGGACATAATGGGAGGGGAAACACAAAATAATGGGTACAAATGATACAATGCCAGGAGGATACTTTAGAAGAGTTGAAGAACAACAAAAAGAGGGAGAGAAAGTGAGGAAGGGAGGGAGGGAAAGGGGGAAGGAGGGAGAAAGAGAGAGGGAGAGAGCAAGAGAGGGTAGGAAAGAAAGAGAAAGTATGTGTGTGTGTGTGTGTGTGTGTGTGTGTGTGAGAGAGAGAGAGAGAGAGAGAGAGAGAGAGAGAGAGAGAGAGAGAGAGAGAGAGAGTGTGAGTGAGTGTATGTACCTTTTTAAAAAGCCCCAGAACTTACCTCAGGGGCTACCTTTGCAGTAGCAGCACCTGGTACCATGCTACCCATTGGCACCAGCCCCACATCCTGGATTTTCAGTGTTTTCTGTAGGAATATAAAAAAGAACAAAATTTAACAACTGGAATTCTATCCTCTAAACTCAGTAACTGATGGGAGAAACTTCCTCAAAACCCAATATTCTCCCACTTGTGTCTGGGAAAGACAATAATTTAGCATTTACTCAACACCCAACTCAACAAATACATGGCTCACTCCATTCTCTAGGCAGTGCGGCTAGATGCCATAGTGGATAGAGTACTGGACTTCAAGTTAGGAAGATACCCAAATTCAAATCCTGCCTTCAGATGCTCACTACCTATGCAGCCCTGAGAAAGTCACATAACTTCTCTCAGCCTCAGTTTCCTCATCTGTAAAATGAGGATAACCTATCTTACAAGGCTGTTGTATGATGAAATAAGTAAAACAACTTGCAAACCTTAAAGCACTACATAAATGATAGCTATTATCATTACCTTCAATAACTCGTTGAGATCAGAGATTTCCAGTAGAGTGAGGCCAGCGATGTCCTGTACTAACTGCTGAATCTTAGGAGGGTACTCCTTGGGGGCACTGTCCAGAGCAGCTCCAGCCAGAGTTTCACTTCTTCTTTGATGACAGCTGCTTCTCATTAGCCTCAGGGCACAAACACCTAATAATGGTAGCCTACACCCAACCCCATTCAAACAAGAAACTGTCACTGCCCAGCAAGTGAGCAAGGGAAAATTGTTTACAGGGCTGGAACCCAACATTTGTGCTATAAACGTATTGTGAAAGCTAGGAGGGACCTTAGAGACAGACCCTAGTTCAACAGCTTTTGTATTATGGATCCTTTTGACGGTCTGGTGGAACCCAGTCCCCCTTCTCAGAATAATGTTTTTAAATGATGTGCAAGGTGGTGCTGGACCTGGAGTCAGGTTCAAATCCAGGCTCAGACACTTCCTGTGTGACCCTGGGGAGTCACTTAAAAAAAAAATCTGTCTGCCTCAGTTTCCTCAGCTGTAAAAATAAGAACAACAGCATCTAACTCCAAGGGTTTTTATGATAAAATTAGGGTAATACTTGTAAAGATATTTGAAAACTTTAAAGTGCTATAAAGATGTAAAACAAAATATAACTATAAAGGTGTAAATAAAAGTGCTATAAATAATAGGTTGCTATAATTATTAGTGAAATATATAGGATCACAAAGGAAACCAATTATGTTGGAATAAAGATGAAATTTTTTTTCCCATCAAAGTCTCCCTAAGTCTTAACGTGCACCTCAGGTTAAGAACCTGATATTCCAACCTCGTCATGTGACCCAGCTTGGGAAAAAGCAACAACAACAAAAAACTAGGCACAGGAAATTACAATCAGTACCCCCAACAGAAGCTTAAGGCAGCTAGGTGGTGGAGTACGTAGAGCCCGGGGCCAGGAGTCAGCAGAAACCTAAATTCAAATGTGGCCTCAGGCATTTACTAGCTAAGTGACTCTAGGCCAAGTCACTAAAACCGATGTCTGCCTCGGATTCCTCAACTGAAGAATGAAAATAACAACAGCACCTACCGCACAAGATTATCACGAGGACAGAATGAGGTAAATGTTCCCTTCAATCTCCCTCACCCCCTTTAAGGACTGGGGAGGAAGTGAGCGGTCCAAGGTCACACCGGCAGAGACCAGAACCTGGCCTCCCGTACCAGGGGCCCCGGGGGTGGGGAGGGGAATAGGGCCCCTGGAGGGGAGGAAAGGGGTCATCCTCCCCCGTTTCTTAGGCGCAAGAAAAGGTTGCCACTTCTTCACTCAACTCACGGTGAGGGGCGGGAGGGGGCGGGGCGCGAGCGCCACAAAGGGGAGAGGATCCAGACTGGGGGGGGCCACACAAGACTCCCGACTAAAGGCCGCAGGCTCCGAGAAAATCCTCCCCCCAGCAAGGGAGGGAGCAGCCTGAGGCGACCCCTCCCGGCCTCATGCTTCCAGGCCGAGGCTCCTACTTCACCCCGAGTCCCGGAGGCCCAACCCACCGGTCCCGGCACCGGTTCGGGTACCTGGTCTGGAGCAGGGCCGCGGCCCGGAACCTCAAACAGATCCCCCGGAGGGGGCGAGCAGCCGCAGCCAGCATTGCGGTGGGCGCGAGAAGGTCACTCACGAGGCTGCGCTGGCGGAAGGCTACGCTCTAGCCCCGCCTGGAGGCCGCTCTCGTTGACCCGGAAGTGCCGGGGCGAGGGACGCTCTACCAGGGGCGTGCCTCCGTCTCGTTGGTTGAGGATTACCCCTGCTATCCGAGGGGGCACCGAGGAAGCGGAGGTAGGCGGGTTGTGTGCTTTGCTTTAAAGTGTTAGTCACGGGCTGCCTGCCTGCTGGGCCGCGGCTCTCCTGCGGGGCCCTTTGCCGCTAAGTGTTATTTTGAAGGTAAAATGTAAGAATAATTTGGTTTGATATATTTTTTACTTAGCGTATTAAAGTAAATGTAAAGTTCGGAATCTGCTCTTTGGGCAAATAGCATAAAGGAAACATATTTTAAGGGCCCTACTTCGTGCCAGGTTCTGTGCTAAGGCCGTGGGAACATGCCCCCACCCAGGTCAAAAACCAGGCCACGCTCTGAAGGCGCTCTTAGTCTAAGAAGATAACATGCAAACGGCTGTGGATCAGAGAAGTCAAAAAACATTTATTAAGCAAACACCTACCATGTTCTAGGTACGGTTCTAGTCCCTAAGAGTTAAAGGTTGGGGGCAGCTAAGAGGTGCAGCGGATAGAGTACCCTGAAGTCAGGAGGACCTGAGTTCAAATGTGGCCTCAGACCAAACACTTGACACTAGCTGTGTGACCCTGGACAAATCACTTAACCCCAATTGCCTTAAAAAAAGAAAAAAGTTACAAAGGTGAACTCCCCCTTCCCCTTAATTTTTTTTTAAAAGAATGAAAAGACTCTATGACAAATTGTAAAACAAAACCAAAAATACGGAAAAATGGAAGACCAAGTAAAATATCTCACTGGAAAAACAGCTGACCTGGAAAACAGATCCAGGAGAAAGAATTTAAAAAGTATTGGACTACCTGAAAGCCATCATCAGAAAAGAGCTTCCACATCATCTTTCAAGAAACTATCAAGAAAAACTGCCCTGATATTCTAGAACCAGAGGGTAAAATAGAAATTGAAAGAATCCATCAATCACCTCCTGAAAGAGATCCCGAAAGGAAAACTTCCAGGAATATCATAGCCAAATTCCAGAGTTTCCAGGTTAAGGAAGAAATATTGTAAGCAGCCAGAAAGAAACATTTCAAGTATTGTGGAAACACAATCAGGATAACACAAGAGCTTGGCAGCTTCTACGTTAAGGGATCAGAGGGTTTGGAATATAATATTCCAAAGGTCAAAGGAGCTAGGATTAAAACCAAGAATCACCTACCCAGCAAAACTGAGTATAGTCTTTCAGGGGAAAAAAATGGAAATTCATTGAAATAGAGGACTATCCAGCATTGTTGATGGAAAGACCAAAGCTGAATAGAAAATTTGACTTTCAAATATAAGACTCAAGAGAAGCATGCAAAGGTAAACAGGAAAGAGAACTCATAAGGGACTTACATTCTTGCATGGAAAGATGGTATTTGTAACTCATGAGACCTTTCTTATTATTAGCGTAGTCGGAAGTAATGTATATAGAGGGTGCACCATGAGTTGAATATATAGGGATGATACATCTAAAAAAGAAAAGGGGTGAGAGAGGATTATGCTGGGAGAAAGAGAAAGGGAGAGGTAGAATGAGGTAAATTATCTCACATAAAAGAGGCAAGAAAAAGCTTTTACAATGGCGGGGAAGAGGGGAGAGGTGAGAAGGAATGAGTGAACTTTACTCTTACTGGATTTGGCTTGAGGACAGAACATACACACTCAATTGGGTATGGAAATCTATCTTACCCTATTGGAAAGCAGTGGGGAAGGGGATAAGAGAGGGAGGGGTGATAGAAGGGAGGGTAGATTGGGGGAGGAGGTAAATCAGAAACAAACACTTGAGGAGGGACATGGGCAAAGGAGAGAATAGAATAAATGGGGGGCAGAGTAGGATGAAGAGAAATATAGTTGGTCTTTCACAACATGACTATTAGGGAAGTTTTTTGCATGACTAGACACATATAACCTATATCGAATTGCTTGCCCTCTTAATGATGGTGGGTAAGGAAGGAGGAGGGGAGAGAATTTGGAACTCAGAGTTTTAAAAATGAATGTTAAAAAATTGTTTCTACATGCAACTGGGAAATACAGGCAAAGGGGTATAGAAATCTATCTTACCCTACAGGAAAATAGAAGGGGAAGAGGATAAGAGAAGGGGAGGGGAATAGAAGGGAGAGCAGATTGGGGGAAGGGGTAATCAGAATGCATATCATGATGGGGTGGGGGGAGGGGAGGGATAGGGAGAAAATTTGGAACTCAAAATCTTGTGGAAGTGAATGTTGGAAATTAAAAATAAATAAATTGGGGAAAAAAAGGAATGAAAAGCAAACAGGGGAGACAAAATGACAACTTTTGTTTGCTTGCTTTAAAATTCTCTTTTGTTTTATTTTCAGTTCCAAATTTTGTTCCTCCCTAGATCCCCTCTTCCACCCATGGAGAAAGCAAGAAAAACAAACCCATTAGAAATATGTATGAGCATGCAAAACAAATTCTGGGAGAGAAGAGGGAGGTACTTCATTTTATACACTGAGTCCATCAGATCCTTATTGGTAGATTGGATAGCATGTTTTATCATGAGTCCTGTATAACTGTGGTTGGTGGTTGTGTTGACCAGAGTTGCTAAGTTTTTCAAAGTCGATTATCTTTATAATATTGCTGTTATTGTATAAATTTTCTCCAGGTTCTGATCATTTCACTTAACATCAGTTCCTATATCTTTCCAGAAACTATCCCCTTCATTTTTTTTTTTTGGCTAGGCAGTGGGGTTAAGTGACTTGTCAAGGGTCACACAGCTAGTAAGTGTCAGGTGTCTGGTCTGAGACCAGATTTGAACTCAGGTTCTCCTGACTCCAGGGTTGGTGCTGTATCCACTGTGCCACCTACCTGCCCCCCACCCCCCATTTCTTAAACCACAATAATATCTACCTTCACAACATATCTTGCATGTGCACACTTCTGTCCTCTGATACTACCACCATCCTGGTGTGGGCCCTCATCACCACATGCCTAAACTGTTACCATACCTTCTGATTGGTCTCCCTCCTTCAAGCCTTTCCCATTCCTTTCTGTGGGGGCCATTGCCAGTCTCCTGACTTGCCACTGGATTCTGATAACTCTGAAGGAGAGGGTAAGATTGATGGCTTTGCACAGCTCTGCCTCGCTTAAATCCAACTCATTTGCAAGTCAAAATATCACCCTCTTGATGTCATTAGTCCTCTTTGAGAACAAAGGACAAACACCACCACCACCACAATACTCTTCCATTAGATTCATATACCATATGTTCAGCCATTTCCCAGTTGATGGACATATCCTTAATGTGTAGTTCTTTGCCCCCCAAAAAGATACTGCTATTAATATTTTTGTATATATAGGTACTTTGCCTCTTTCTTTGATCTTTTTGGGGTATAGATCCAGTAGGGTATAGACTCAGTAGGCCAAAGGGTTGTTGTCGTTCAGTTGTGTACTACTCTTCATTACCGCATTTGGACTTTTCTTGGCAAAAAAAGGCATGCACAATTTAATAGCTTTTTAGGCATAATTCCAAATTGCTTTCCTCATTGAATGGCTTGACTAGTTCACAGTTCCACCAATTAATTCCACCAAGAATGCATTAGTGTACCTGTTTTCCACCAGTATTTATCACTTTCCTTTTTTGTCATCTTAACCAATATTATGAGTGTGAAGTGCTACCTCAGAGTTTTCTTAATTTGTATTCCTCTGGCTTCCTTTAGGTCCCAACTAAAATTTTATCTTTTAGGAAGCCTTTCTCAACCCCTCTTAATTCTAGTACCTTCCTCCTGTTAACTATTTCCTATTTATCCTGTATATAACTTGATTTGTATATATTTGTTTTCACATTATCTCCCCCATTAGATTGTAAGCTCCTTCAGGACGAGGATTGTCTTTTGCCTCTGTTTTATCCCACTGCTTAGCACAGTGCCCATGATGAAGTAGGCACTTAATAAATGTTTATTGATTAGCATGGCTATTGATAGCTTGGATTTCTTCCCCAGAAAACTACCTATTCAGATTCTTTGACCACTTAAGAATTGGGGAATGGCTTGTTTTCTGACAAATTTGACTCAGTTCCCTATATATCTTAGAAATGCTTTATCAGAAAAACTTGCTACAAACATTTCCCCTGAGTTTCCTGTTTTTCTTTGCCACATTGTATTTGGCAAAAAAAAAATTATGTAGTCAAAATTATCCATTTTACCTCCTGTGAACCTCTTTTATCTCTTCTTGGGTCATGAATTCTTTCCCAGTCCATAGGTGTGACCAGTAATTTCTTCTGTGCTTCACTAATTTGCTTATATCACCCTTTATGTCTAAATCATGTACCCTTTTTTAGCTTGTCTTGGTATATGGAGTAAGATGTTGGTCTACACCTAGTCTCCAGTTTTCCCAACAGTTTTTGCTGAATAGAGTTCTTGCCTATATAAGAATGCAAGCAATCTATCCTTGTTTAGTCCCTTATGATTGCTCACTCATGTTTATTTTTTTAATGTTTCTTTTGAGTTGTGTTTGAATGTCAAATTTCCTATTCATCTCTGGTTTTTCATCAGGAATACTTCATAGTCCTCTGTTTCATTAAAGTTCCATTTTTTCCATGTTGGATTATCTTGTTTTTTTCTGGTAGGTTATTCTTGATTGTAATCCTAGATACTTTGCTTTCTGGAATATCATATCCCTAGCTGATGGCTTTTAAAGGTGGTGGCTGCTAATTCTTGAGTGATCCTGACTATACTTCTGTGGCACTTGAATTCATTTTTTTCTGGCTGCTTGCAGTATTTTTTATTTGACCTGGGACCTCTGTATTTTGGCTATCATATTCCTAGGAGTTTAGGGTTTTCTTATCTTTCTTTAGGGTTGTCAGGAGATGACTGATGGATTTTTTCAATTTCCACTTTGTCCTTTGGTTCTAAGTTATCTGGACATTTTTCTTCTATGATTTATTGAAATATGATATCTGGGTTCTTTTTTAAAAATTTATTTATTTTCAGTTTTCAAAATTCATTTCCA